GTTAGCATTGTGTAGCTGACGAAAGGATAGTGATGATGAACATACCCACCAGCGCCGGTGATGACGGCGTTTTTGCCAGCGAGACGACCACGAGGAGCAGACATTGTGTGTGTTTTGTATGTGTATGGATGAATGAGAAGAAAGAAGAGAACAAGTTTGGGGTATCAAAGGGTAATTATGTGTGTTTGTTTGTTGGAAAAGATGGTGATACAGAGAGGAAGACAGCGCGGTGAAGGAGGGGGATGTTAAGCTTTCTTATCTTTCTCCAAGTGTGTGTTCCAGAAGCTCACTGATAAGATTAGACTAGAAGGCGGGATCTGACTCGTGAGACAGAGACATGGCAAAAGAAGGCGGTAGAATGGGGATCGTGTGTCATGAATGGATGGGTCTCATGGAAGCTCTAGCATTCTTTTTCCGACAACGGCGGTAGGCGGCTCCAATGATTTGGTAGGCGGCTAACCTTGGTAGCTACTAATTATTAAAGAGAATACAGTAGTTTGATGGGTCTAGAAACTGTATGGATCAGACTCCATAGGTATCATGGGAGAGGGGGACTATTAGCTTATAATCTCGGAGCCTCGGTACTATTTGTTCATCATGGCCGTCATTATTTGCGACAGTTTGCAGTGTTTACTGTCGTTAAAAAGCATGTCTCTATAGGGCAAGATCGCTCCGCAACTACCGGGAGATACTATACATATCTCACTTGTCCCAAAGCTATCAAGATCCAGGGTCCTTTTTTCGGACGTCAGATCTTGAGCTTGCATGCAGGACCCCTGTCAAAAGCGATGTCGGCAATGGTCACGAGGTCATCAATGTGACAGGCCAGCCAAGTCGAGATGAGATGACATTTCGCGGCTACATGTCTGCGCGGTTGCATACTCTGGACTCAGTACCAATTGTGTTAATGGGACAGAATAAAGACGATAAAGGTCATGGCGGCTCGCGCATGGCAATCAAGATAAACCCCATGTTGGTCAGAGCTTCAAAAGATAGCAATATCTAACAGAATGCGGGGAAGTTGAATTGGCTTCTGACCGTTGAGTTTGAAAGCGCGGCAATCCAAAGTGAAGCTATCATAACAGAGACATGGAAGTCTAGAGTGACCTATCTACAGGCGTGTATGTACTGTAACTGTAGTGGATGCCTCGGCTGTACAGCTCAATTGGTGCTAGTCCCAGCGGTACGCGCACCGAGAGAGCTTCCCTGGAAATGTTCCCACTTTAGGTCACCTACGTCACTGAAGCTCATGGCTTATCGTCTGAACCTCTTATCGTAGCCGCGCTGAGAGAGACAAACAGAGACACTCATTGCGATAAACCTGATTATTGGTGTCTTGTCTTATTCAGTATACATTTCCCCTCTTTCTCGTCCAGTACTTGAATACGCGACCAAGATTATTCTCCATCTTTTTTCTTATCCTCTTAGTACTTTTGATCTTGATCTGCCTCCCCGCATCCACTGCGCGCATCGCATCTCAAGACCCCCGCGAAGCTTCAATTACTCCCTCAGACATATCACGAGTCTTGTATTTACCGCGCATTCTTAACGGGCTCTTGGACATCTTTCTCCTCTTGTCTCGTTACATATCATCATCTAGCGACATCACCTCGTCATACTCTCTCCCTTACATAACCACTCATATCTACTCTCTTTTGTCCCCTCGAGCTTGGGTAACTCTCTCTCACATACTACCAAAATGGCTTCCTCACAAACCGTCACCGTCGACAATCTCGCCCAAGTCCTCGAGAATGACAACATGGTCAAACTCGCAGGCGTCGACGTCGACGGCATCCTTCGCGGAAAGCTCGTCTCCAAGAAAAAGTTCCTGTCCATCGCAGAAGCCGGCTTCGGTTTCTGCTCTGTCATCTTTGGCTGGGACATGCACGACCGCACATATGTCCGTGAGCTCAAGATCTCAAATGCCGAGAACGGTTACCATGATCTTCTAGCTATACCAGACCTTTCTACCTTTAGGCGCATTCCCTGGGAGGACAATGTGCCTCTGTTTTTGGTCGACTTTCTTGATCCTGATACGCAAAAGCCCATTTGCGCTTGTCCCCGTGGATTGGTCAAGACACAACTCGCAAAGCTCAAGGAGCACGGCTACGGTGCTATGGCCGGTGGTATGTTTCCCTCAAATCTTTCTCTCACTTCTTATCTGACAAAGCCCAGCCGAATATGAATTCTACCAATTCAAGTCCCCCGACCCTTCATCATCCTCTCCCGCCGCCTACCTCCAAGACAACCCTCCTCACCAGCTCCCCGCTCTAACAGAAGGCATGTTTGGCTACTCCCTCACCCGACCGGTGCACAACCAAGATTACTACTACGACGTCTTCAACACATGCGCCAAGTTTTCTTGTAATATTGAAGGCTGGCACACCGAGTCCGGACCAGGCGTCTTCGAAGCCGCTCTCGAGTTTGGCGAGATTGCTCAAATGGCCGACCGCGCTGCGCTGTTCAAGTACGTCGTCAAGAGCGTCAGCACAAAGTACGGCATCACGCCTTGCTTCATGGCCAAGCCCAAGCAAGGTCTTCCTGGAAACAGTGGACATATGCACGTTTCCATCGTGGACAAGGAGGGCAAGAATCTCTTTGCGCGCGAGACAAAGGATGAGAACCCCAAGTGGAGAGACATTGCCAATCTCTCTGATATGGGCCGACACTTCCTCGCTGGTATTCTTGTCGGTCTCCCAGACATCATGCCCATTCTCGCACCCACAATCAACTCCTACAAGCGTCTGGTCGAGAACTTCTGGGCCCCCGTTACTGTCTCATGGGGTCTCGAGCACCGCGCCGCTTCTATCCGTCTCATCTGCCCCAAGCCCTCAGCGACACGCTTCGAAGTCCGTGTTCCCGGCGCAGACACAAACCCCCATCTCGTCCTCTCCGCGATCCTAGGCTGCGGCTGGCGCGGTGTAGAGAAGAAGTTGGAGATTCCTACTCCCCCGCTCGCCATGGGCCAAGACGTCGGTGGTGACGCTGACCAGGGTGAGAGATTGGCCAAGAGTCTGAAGGAGGCCACAGTGCGATTCATGGCAAAGGATAGCATTGCGCGTGAGGTGTTTGGGGATGATTTCGTGGAGCACTTTGGTGGAACAAGAGAACATGAAGTCCGTCTGTATGACGAGGCAGTTACTGATTGGTACGTACACAGCTTCTTGACTGTTGATACACAGCTAACCGTTTGCAGGGAAATGAAGCGATACATTGAAACTGTTTGATTTGGGTTATTGGAGTTTATGTTTGTTTGTTAATATTTTGACGTATGGGTACACAGGGCGTACTTGTGGGCATTTGTATATGCAAACGAAGTGGAATGAGATTCATGATAGAGTCATCTGAACGAATATACCTTGTATTTGCTTTCGTAATTGAGTTGACATAGCATGTGTTTTGAGTGAGTGTGTTTGTTGCGATGATTGTATGTTGCTTCACCTTGTCCTGGCTGTTGATCTGGATGACCATGAATGACAGACACACTCTGAAAGTAGTCATGAGACTAGACAAACACAGTATGATATCAAATATCCGCTGTCATTATTTCACAATTCAGAGTCTTTTGTAACAATGGCTCATCCCATGATTAAGGCGATAAGTTTCTGTTTGTGAATATGAGCCTGTCGCCCCAGGGTAGCTCGCGACGTTCTCCACCGACTTCGGCGGCAAAAGCAATCGACTTATCATGACTACTAAAAGACAAGAAATCCCCAAGAAAGTTCAACAAAACATCACAAAGAACAAGCTACCAAAATGTCAGTCTACATTGCAGAAAATACGGCAAGCGAGCCTCTAGTAAGCAGTCATAATGCACCCTCCAAGTACCATCGCTAACAAGTTTAGTCCAACGAAGATGCCCGCTGGGTCGGTGTCAAAAAGTACCACCACCCTCCATCCGTTCTATTACTTTACTAACACTCACAGAATCACATACACCGATCAAACAGGCGTCCAGCGAACATGGGAATCCGCCGAGCGTCTCACCCGTCCCAAAGACGCCCTCATAGACGGCGTCGGCATCGTCGCCATTCTCGCCCACTCCCACAGCCCTAAAATCGTCCTCCAGAAACAATTCCGCCCCCCAGTAAACAAAGTCGTCATCGAAGTCCCCGCCGGATTAATCGATGAAGGCGAAACAGCTGAAGAATGCGCCGTGCGCGAACTCCGCGAAGAAACAGGCTACGTTGGCGTCGCTACCGAGACGTCACCCATCATGTTCAACGATCCTGGCTTCTGTAACACGAATTTAAAAATGGTTCATGTCAGTATTGATATGAATCTTGAGGAAAACAAGAATCCGAAGCCGAATTTGGAGCCGGGGGAGTTTATTGAGACGTTTACGGTTGAGTTGACGGATTTGTGGAAGGAGTGTGAGAGGTTGGAGGCGCAGGGGCATGTTATTGATGCGAGGGTTGCGACTATTGCAGAGGGGATTCTTCTTGCTCAGAGGTTCAAGCTTTAGAAATGCTACGGATGGGAGGAAGAGGAATCTACCGAGGGTTGGCTTCCGAGATCTTGGTTTAGATGAGCCGGTTCACTGAGGTTCGATCCCCCAAGTGTTACTTCACCAACGAATGAACGCGGGCAGGGTTCATAGGAATGAATAGGCAGCTCATGAACGGAACTACAAGCCAATTGCCAATCGAATTAGACTATTATTGTATGCAATCACTACTAATAGATATAATACATATCGTCTGCTATACAGAGTATGGAGTATGGAGTTGTATCATGAGATCCATTAATTACCACCCCACTTCAATTATTACCAAGCCCTTGCTTAGTGCCTCTGCCCCTCATCTTTTTTCCCCTCCTCCCATTTCTCTTTTCCACCTTGCATCTTTCACTCTCTGCGGCTGTGTTTCTTCTTTCCTTTACCCCTTATTTTTGCTATACACATATCGCGTCACAGCCCTACCATTTACGTGTCCTGGAAGTAAAGTTACGCCAAGGATACTTCACTAAACAATTCAGACTTTTCACACAACAAAAGTCTACCCGAGTTGGTGCAGTGGTTAGCATGTCCAGTGACAGCTTGTGGGGGAGCCGTGCTGAACCTACAGGTCCCTTCAGGGGCGGAAGACTCAGGTTCGACTCCTGAACTTGGGAGTATCCTTTTGACATTATCTATCTCTGCATGACAGGATATTTAAGTCAAAAGGTCACAGTTCTTACTATCAAGAAACTAACCGAGTTGGTGCAGTCGCAGTATGTCCGATATTGGGGAGAGACGGGAGACTCAGGTTCGACTCCTGAGTTGTGGAATATTGGGGAGGGAGGGAAGTTGGATAATTTTTTTGATACATTATCCATCTCGACATGATGGATGATACTTGACTCTGAAAGCTCAGAGTTCTTGTATACATCATGAACCTTACCCGAGTTGGTGCAATGGTAGTATGTCCGATCTCACTGATACAGAGGCTGCAGCTCTAGAATCGGCCCTTCGGGGGCGGAAGACTCAGGTTCAAATTCTGAACTTGGGAATCTCTTTTTTGGGGTTTACCTCTGCCCACGATAGGAGATACTTACGTTGAAACTACAGCACCTCAAGAGCCCGAGTTGGTGTAGTGGTAACACATCCATTGCCAACAGGTAGGTTCTGAACTTACCTGCCCTCCGGGGGGTGGAAGACCTAGGTTCAAGTCCTAGACTTGGGGGTCTTCTTTTTTTCTTGCAAGTCCATCTCTCGGACAGAGTGTGTTTAAGTCGAGACTTTCCAACATATTCTGTAACAAAAGCCCGAGTTGGTGTAACGGTAGCATGTCCGGATGAGGACGGGTAGGTCCTGAACCTACTTGCCCCTTCGGGGGAGTCGGAAGACCCAGGTTCAAACCCTGGACTTGGGGATATATTTTTTGGAAGTCTATCTTTGGGATGGTGTGTTTAAATCGAGTCTTTTCAATATCTCTAGTAATCAATGCCTGGGTTGGTGTAGTGGTAACATTTCCATTGGCAACGGGTAGGAGGCTATAAAGCTGAACTTACTTGCCCTTCGGGGGGTGGAAGACTCAGGTTCAAATCCTGAACTCGGGGGCATCTTTTTTACTCAATATACATAATATCTGCATATCTGTCTATCTCACAAAGTGTTGAATCAGTCGGTGACTAAGTAAATTATGCTTAATTGAACTGCCGTGCACTTGACGACCCTGTCATTTTTGATACCAGGCCTTCCTTTACGTCATCACCAAACATGGTCTCACAAACACTCTCACTCCCTCACCTTTCAACTCCCATCTTCAAACTCCTTCTCTACAAAATAAAAGAATGCGACTCGCCAACATCTGCAAAAACCCACGCTTTTTACTAACAGCAACTTGTCTCATCCCCCCACGCACCATGACAACCTCACTAAAAAGCCAAAACATCCCACTCACCCTCCCCTCCGACCTCTCAGAAGAACAGCTAAGTTCCTTCAAACCATTCAACGTATAACCCTCTATCCCCCCATTAAAACAAGTACTAACTTACTCCCAGAACTGGGTTGACACACTTACATCCTCCCTCCGTCTCCAATCAACACCTTCTCACCCCTTCCACAAAGACCCCTACGCTCTCCGCTCGGTAACAATCCAATCCTTCGACCTCTTCGGCAAACGCCTCGGCTTCGTAAAACTCACAGCTACCGTTTCCAACTCCGCAGGCGAAACGCTTCCCGCAGCCGCACTGCTTCGCGGACCCAGCGTAGCGATGCTATTCATGCTCATCCCCGACGAAGCACCAGAAGAGCGCTACGTCGTCCTAACAGTGCAACCGCGCGTTCCAGCAGGGAGTCTAAGTTTCGTAGAGCTTCCAGCGGGTATGGTAGATGACGCGGGGAGTTTTAAAGGTGCGGCTGCGCAGGAGATACAGGAGGAACTAGGTGTTACGATCCATGAGGATGAATTGACTAATTTGAGTGAACTTGCTGCGGGAGAGAAAAGTGAGGAGGGACTTGCGCAGGCTATGTTTCCTAGTGCGGGAGGGTGTGATGAGCACATTACCATCTTCAGCTACGAGAAGCGTCTGCCGAGAGACAAGATTCAGGAGTGGAGTGGTAGACTTACGGGGTTGAGGGAGCATGGGGAGAAGATCACGTTAAAGGTTGTGCCGATGAGTGAGGCGTGGAGGGATGGGGCGAGGGATGCAAAGTGTTTGGCTGCGTTGGCGCTCTGGAGGGGGTTGAAGGATGATGGGAAGCTGTCTTGAGTTTGTCATGTGTAGGTATCTGAGTGAATCATGATATAGTGCAGGCTGCAATGTTGTATAGAACAGACATCAAGAAACGGGGGGTATCTAAACTCTGTATCCGCTCAGCGGTTATTCTACCATGTCACACATCGACTCCATCTTGCTATCCTTTATAATATCCCACCCAAAATTATGTATAGTAGTCCCGTTTCCCATGTATTTCCGTGTAATTCTCTCTCTGGCATTAACGCCGTTAATCATCCTGAAACTCCGGTGTATGCATCTCTGTCTGTATTATATATGCTTCCCATTACCCATTCCTTTTCGAGCCGAGACAAATGTTCTAATAAACATGTTAGTCAAAGACCCAAAAGCCAGATTGACTGATAACTCACACTTTGGCCAAACTGCGTAGCATGGGATCTTGCATCTCGCCTACGACACGATCGAGTAAAGCTCTTGTAGCCTTCTCTTCCCAACCTCCCAACCCGAATAATCTCAATGCCCAATTCTCTATTCCTGGTTCTTTCGTATTAGCACTTATTCTTATTCTCGTTTTAGATCGTCTGTCACACATACCGCACTCGACCATCTCGGCCAACGCTTTGCGCTTCTGTTGGGTGATGGGATCACTCCCCCAATTCTGTATCGGCAGCCAATCCACTCTCTCGCAAATAACCTCTGCGCCCAGTTCTGACAATCGTCCTGGAACTCTCGGTATAGGATCGCAATCAATGCCAAGCTTGTCGCACATCTCCACAAAGGTTCTCTCGTACTCTATACACGCCGCGCCAATCTCGGGCTTTCTATCCTCGCAGGGCAGGTCTGCTTGTTCAGGATCGACGTCGAAAAAGTGCGGCCGAATCTCTGTAACCTCCAATTGACCCCCCGGCTTGAGGTGTTCGTATGCTTCAGCAAGCAAGGAATCCCAATCGCGCACGCCGGCGCCGGCAAGACTGCGCATGTGGATAAAGTCGTAGGTGCGTGCGGGCCAGGGATCCGTAACGTCGGCGATCTCAAACGTCACGTTGGGGGGCACGTCTTCGGGGAGCAGGGCGCTGCTGAGATCGATACCGAGGATGTTGACCTGGGGATACCGCTTGGCCATGTCGCAGGCCCAGACGCCGCTGCCCGCGCCTACGTCCAGGATCTCGAAGGGGTCTTGGGGGGTGTACTGGTCGAGGGGTAGTTTGGCATCAACAAGACCGCCGTCGAGACATAATTGGTAGAGCTCGTGCTGGACGGCCAGGCGGTGGGCTTCGGAGGCGTCGTTGGGGGTGAGGAGTTGGCCGGTGCCATGGTATGTGTGGCCGTACTCGTAGATCAGGGGAAGAGCTTCTTCTGATATCGTCGAGTAGTTGGATGTTGTGTCGCTAAAGTCTGACTCTGAGGTCTGGTCGTCCTGAGAGACATTGTCAACGGGAAGCCGTTTGACGGTATCGTTTTGTTTCGCCATATCGTCTGCCGCTAGTTGATTGAGGTCGTAGATGGTGGGAGAGCAGTTGTTGTTATTGTATTTCGAGTATCGTTCGTATCTCGCTTGGATTGGGACGAAAGATCGACAAGGGGGCGCCGGCGAACGGACATGGACCAACAAGCGAGTCTCGTGGCAGTGGAGTTTTGGACAGAAGCTGTAGATATGTAGTTATGTCTGTATGAATATATACATGACGAAGAGAAATGTCTAGAAGAGAGTGATTATTCGGATTTGAAGAGAGGCGTTAATTAATTATTGACGAGAATCATCCATAGTCATAAGAAGAAACCAGACAAAAGTAAAAAAATAAAAATAAAAAAAAAGAAATAAAAAGGAGGAGATTGAGAAGGAGAAGGAGAAGGAGAAAAGAGACGACGACGACGACGGAATTATTAATTTACAGAATTTGGATGGGATGGTAAAGTTACAGCAAAGAAACAAAGTGGAGGAGGCTAAGATGGTACAGTAGGAGTAGGGGAAGATCAAGGTCCAGGGGTGTTTGTTATCTACTCCATACCTGTTTGGTTGGTGCCGTGACGCTGGACAGCATCACGGCGCAAAACTTAGTTACTCCTTAGGCCTAGTACTCTGTAGGTATGCATTCGTATTCAAGAATGGAAACTAAAATGCTTCCAAATACTTTGACTATGGCCTTCTCCGCAAGCTTCGACGTATCTACTATGTATCTGTCAAGCTAAACAAGCTTCATCTGATCTCTTTCTGTAAATACACTGAAACGACGGCCCTAATTCCTCGACTATCACTTCCGAATCAAGTGTAGAAGAAAAAAAAAAAGAACGTGATATGATCAAAAACAAAACATGATATAATCGTATAGAGTAAAGATGGACATATACATCAGAGCTGAGACACTCACATCAAATTTCCAAGCGAACCCTTTTCTCCATTGCAAAATACTACATCAATCTGTTAATTAGGTACTACTCCGGAAACTATCTCGAATTAACAAACCCTGAACCCTGACCCATGTCAAGGCCTCTCTCTCTTTTCTACCCTGTTCCCATCACTTTTTTCACTCCTTCTCTAATATTATATCTGGTTATTTCTTGAACCAACATAACCCTCCTTATCCAACCCTAGGTATCTATCCGTTGAACCAACATTGTAATCTCGCGCAATTTAGCGGATCTCCGCGCTGCTGTAACTTCAACTCCTCCCATGTCCCATGTCACGTCACGTCACTAAATAAATAGTCCGCCCAGTGAGTAACTAAACCCTTGTTCCCCGGTGTGGAAACCTCTTTTTCCCTCGTGGCCCCCTTGTTTGAAAGCGTTTTTGTTCTAGACCTAGACCCTTTTTTTTTCTCTCTCTTCGCACTCGCTTCACATCAAACAAGACACTTTCTAAACTAATATGTGTCCTATTATTTAACGCTAGGAACAATATCACTAATAGCCCAACAGAAGTAAAACATTCACTGTCTTGATAAGTAGTTATGTCATGCATAATCACATCACAATCCTTCATCACACACAGAAGAAACTACCTATGTACCCATGTCGACATGCGGCGCAGCGCGCAGCGGAACGGCGCGAAGGAGCATGGAATGGAAACTTTGTGTTGAACATGATCTGTCATGTCTTTTTACGATAAATGGCATGCATGAAGCTACACTCTCCCGAGACAGTATAAGCCTTGGCTGGTATTGACCAAGAACAGTCAAATCGAATCCTTCCTTAATATTGACACGAGAACATGTCGAATGGATGAACTCTTAACTAACATCGAGAACCATTGGCCGCTGACATTAACACGAGACTGAGTATTGATGCTATTCCACACTAAAAAGTCCTAAATAATAGACACACAGTAAAAAAAGGAACAGATAGAAAAAAGCTGACAGACAACAACGCCGATGCTATGACGCAACTGAACAAGGCCAACAAATTGAGACTCCCATCAACATCCCTCAAATGTCTACCGATTCAGTAACATAGCATAATAGCTTTGGACAAAAGAGTTTGGGGTCCTTTCTGCTTGAAACATGTGCCTCTCGCCTTGTATTCTTAAAACTTGGCTCTTTTTGAGCCCACAATCGCCGCCGTTCCATTTCCCATGCAATACTGGTCCCATATTATCAAAAAATCCAAAAGTAAACCCCGTCTCGATTCCCTGTGAAAGATAAATTCGTGATATCCCATCATTGACCACCTCTCATTTGTTTCACTGTGTACTCACTTCCCCGACCATCCCAACCAAGAAACAAAAAAGCAAAAAGAAAAAAGAAAAAAAAAGTGTGCAAAACAGACTCGCCGCCTTCCATTATGCCTGATCCATTACCGATGCAAAAAATGAAATGAAAAGACCATTGTCAAGCATCGCTAGCCTGCCAATCGCCATATGAATGATACAGTCCGGTTCTTCA